CACATCCTGCACTTGTAGTAACGTCATTGGCCTTCACGGTCAAAGGGAGCCGTTGCATGAACGTGGTTGTAGAAGGGATAGGCTCCCATTGTCAATTCGATGCAGTATTCGGATTCCGATTGATATAACATCAGTACATTACTACTCTTTTGTCAGAGTAGGACTTCCTGGCTTTCAAGGGGGATTTCACCGTCTGCAATTTGTCCTTCCACTTTCGTCATTGCCCTACGGTATTATTATTATTACTATTATTTTTCTAGATATTATTATTATTATTATTATTATTATTATTATTATTATTATTTGTGTTGCCACTATTGATATTATTATTATTATTTTATTTATTTTATTATTTTGTTATTTCGATTATTATTGCTTGATTATTTCTGGTGTCTCTGTTAGTTACTATCACTATCATTAGACATCATACAAGCCCAGAGATGATGGGAGGCATGGGGCATGGAGAGGGAGGTGACGCTATCCTTCGCAATAAGTACCAGCCTCCTTCATCCTTCTCCATACTAATCCTTGTTTGGTCCTCTCAGATGTCTGTCTCCTCGATTTATTTGTTCGACGACATGATCCCCATTGATTAATCATGGCCTCAGCTTAACCTAAGGACAAGCAATTGATTGCATAGATCACACATGATCAGTGACAGGGCGATTGCGGGAACTCTGCCGGAGTTCAGGCGGAACTCTGGAGGCAGAGAACAGTGAGGTATGTGTGCGTCAACATAAACCCTAAACCCTAAATCTGTAACCTTAGGCTGCTACCTATGACTATGTTAGTAACAAGGGTACAACGATCTTGCTATGTGGGTGTTCTTTGGGGATGTGGATGCAAAGAGGATCGATTACTTATATTCTTCTCTCTATACGCCGTCTACAACAGAAAAAATGTGGGCATTTTTTTGGGGGGTTTATCAAAAATGTGCACCCCTTTTAAACTGTTGGTTTCGTGTTAATAAACAGTTTGGCAGGGGTGGTGTCATGTGTTCCACCAGAAGTGAAGGAACTCAACGTTGATAACATATGTCATAAACATGCAACATTGTGTTCAACACTTGTTCAATTGTTGAAAAACTGTTGAAAAGTTGTTGAAAAGTTGTTTACAAGTTGTTGAAATGTTGTTGAAAATGTGATGATCAACTGTTGAACATTGCAGATATTGTTGGGAATATTTGAGAGGGAGAGAGAGAGCCCTGTTACTATTGATCACCTTCATCTTAGCCTGTGTACCTCCCTGTCAATCTTGAATGCAGCGCCATGGGCAAATGTCCGATGGATGTGAACGAAATTGACACGCGGGTTGGCTACCGGGTGCCAATTTTCAGCATCACTTCCATGCATGACAAGAACATGGCACGCAGTAGTTAACCAGTCATGTAGTTCTCACCCAACATTAAGATGAACATGTTTTGTAGTACTTTGTGACATCATATTCAATATTTTTGGAAGTGTGTATTGCGTTTTCTGCTTATTTTTGTCAAATAGAATTCATGTTCTTGCAAAATCATACGTTGATATTTTCTGGCCCACATTACACATGACGCATTGCGTATCCTTGCAAGACAAGCGACAATGTGTACACTGAATTGATAGTGCGTAATGTGAGATGCGAAGCGCAAATGCTATGTGATGGTCGAACATCCACGGCAGGTCTTGTACAAAATCATTTGTTAAATAACACATGTTTGCTTATTGTACACTCAGCCCAAAGGGTTCTCCAGAGTCTTTTTTTTTTTCAAATAATAACTCTCTCTCTCTCTCTCTCTCTCTCTCT